AAAGATAGCATACTTGACACGTTTTTTCCCATTACATTTCTAAACCATTTGCCTTTTTTATGTAATTATTGTGGGATTAGTTATTTTTGAAATGGTGCAACATGAGAATTACCCATATGTAAATTAGCAATAAAGGGCAGATCAAGTGGAAGAGGGGTTTAGTGCAATAACCATCTGGATTCATCTTTCCGACTGACAGCTTTTCAAAAAGGGATACGGTCTTGATAAAATGATAGCCTGTCTGTCATGCCGAGCCATCACACAGACACACACACAGACACGCACCGCCGTGAAGAATACTAATCAACCTGTTTGCAGAAGCTCGGCGCACAACTTTCATCCATCCTGTGTCTACTCTGCATGATTTCCTCCAAACCTCCACCTGCTGAATTTCATCGGGTTTCAGTAGTCTTCTCTGTCTCTCTCTTCCCTGTCTGTGTCTCTTCAGAGCGACAGACAGCCGGAGATAGTGAGTCTGAGCCTCTGAGGATACAGCTCACTCGTGCGTCGCTTCCAAGAGGGAAGCCCCCCACGCGTTGCGCGCTGAGATCGCCGGTAGAAACTCGAGTGTGCACGTGCGACAGGCTATAAATGTGTGTGTTCGTGCACGATACAGCCCCGGACTCCCTCCTCAACAGTTGCTGCCGGAGCGGCGGAGAGGAGCGGTGGAGAGCGAGAGAGACAGCAGACTGAGGACGGACGCGGCGCTCTGCCCGGCTCTGCTCCTGACATGCACTCGATCATCTCTCCGGTGACCAAGGCCATCCTAGTAGCACTCTTCATCTTCGCGATACTCCTCATCCTCTATGTAATCCTTTGGTACATTTGCAGAGACGTGGACTGCGACCACGGAATTTGAAGATATTCCAAACGGCAATACCGGGAATTTCTTAATGGGGCGCACAGAACAGCCCAGGGTCATCCCGTAAGTCTGCATTTTTTTGTAATGTCTTTCCTGATGGCTGTTTCTATGTTATCTGTGGATATGTGTATGTGTTCACGCGCTTTTTGGTCGTGCGTAATGTTAAATGCGCTTTGGTAAGATCAAGTGCGTCTCCACCGGCACGAGGGATCCCAAACCCGAAATGAGCAGAGCCCCAAATTCCTTTCTGTTCAACTTGGCAGCGGCCATCTATCGATACCGGCTCATGTTTTAGAGAGCCGGCGTTGTATCTGACAGTGGATTCTCAAAGGTGATACAATGTCATCAGAGGATATCGAACTGACGCGTGTGTGGGCTATCAATTAATGGATTGGGAAGACCACCGGTGACATTGCGGTAAACGGCGTGGGTGTCCCTTAAGGTCAAGAACAACAGTGTTTACATGCAGGTTGCCAATATTGTGTTGTTCTCCCCCTCCTCCTCTTCCTCATCCTCTTCTTCCTTCGGTATATCTGCAACATTAGTTCATGTTCAGTTAATCTTGGTCTCTGAGGATGCTTCCACATTTTACATCCTAAGAGATAACAAGATTATCTCTATTGGCTCCTGCACGTCTAATTCCTAATCTGTTTTGTGCCATGTTTGTGACTCTTTATCAAGAAAACGCCGCTAATGCTTTTACGCATAGCGCATTTATATTCCCCATGACAGCAGTGAGCTTGTTTAACAACATGAGATGTCCGATGTTAAGAAAGATGCTCTCACATTTACTTTTACGCACGCACGCACGCACGCACTCACACACACACACACACACCACACACACACACACACACACACACACACCACACACACACACACACACACACACACACACACCACACACACACACACACACACACACTCGCAAGCGCACAGCATCCCTGCACGCTTAATAAAGGACTTCTCAATATTGCAGGCACGTTGCCCCAATGCCCACATGCTGTCACATGGTCCATAAAGCTATGAAACATGTGAGATATGATATGATGCCATTTTTCATCCGAGTCTAAATCAGTGCTTGAATTGGAATACAAAAGGTGCCAGTACTCTAAATCAGCAACTGTTTCAAGTCAATTTATTTATACAGCCCAAAAACAAGTATTTGGCTCAACGTCATAGTATATCTTATAAATGCTGGTGGGTTTGTCTCTTTACTGTATATTTTAGAAAGGCTCACTGTACTTAAACAAAATGACTCAGGGTGCATCTGAGATTAGAGGGGGTGTAGTGGTGAAGTGCTATTTTTACAAGTGAGTGGAACTGACACCCTAGGGGGGTCCGGGGGCATGCTCCCCCGGGAAGATTTTTTTTTTAAATATTGAAGTTAGATGCATCAATCTGGTACTTTGAGAGCAAAATGAAGAGATATATCGATTCCTCTCAACATCCATATGAAACAACTGTAAACAGATTTACTTTTTCTTTATGGATATAAAAGAAAGTAAAGCCTGACTCCTACTTGGCGGCTGGTTAAATGACTCCTCGTCCTTGAGTACACTCACCATCTTTCAGCAGGAAAGGAGAGAGGGAATCCTTGTCCGGCGACAACCGCTGTCTTTTTATGGGGGTTATTCCCTATCTTTATTCAAGAGCGTGGTATTTAAATTTGAGAGCATACTTTATGTATTTATTTCCCTCAAACCCTGTCCTCGCACTCAAATAGTGCCTGCTTGCACTTAGATTTGCTCTGCTTGTGCTCAAACTGTACGCTTGCACTCAGATATATTGCTGTTTACAGATTTGTTCTGCTCTCAGATTTATTCTGTGCGCGCTCGAAACTTTTGTGCAACAATCCTGTCAAAATCCCTCAACCAATAGGAGGCCAGGTGTCCTTGCGGGTGCGTTCGCTTTACTTATTACAGCGTCCCGTAAGGGCGGTTACTCTTTGGTTTATAAACTCCCGCCCTCCACGGCTTTATAACATAGCATGTACTTCACTTGTTTGATTTACAACTTTTTTTGGGGGGGGGGGAAGCACAGTTAGTATATATATACCAGCACCTTACATAATAGCTACGTTCAGTGGCGTACTGGGACTAAAAATCAGCCCGGGAATCTCGACCGGCCCTCGTTATCGCTAGTAAATTGTCAACGGGGGAAGGGGGGATTGCTAGTGAATTTCCGACCGGCCCACTTCTTCCTCCAGACTGTTGTTCTGCTCCAGCACTGTTGTGCTACGGCTTGGTTCGGCCCGACGCGAAGCGGAGTGTCGACAACCCCATATTATATAGATATTCGTATATCACGGCCTGAAGTGAGCTATTGCATTTATAAAACGGTTACCACGTGTGGCTGGCAATGTGAAAGAAAAATACACACTCCAATTTAAATAGTTTTTATTATTAAATAATGATGTTCAAAATAAAATTGTCCCTCCGTTGCCTTCTGCACAGAACATAGTGCGAGGTGGTTGCTATGTAACAACAATAACAGCTAGAGAACATATTAGACGTCGTTTAGGTGCTTTTTTTTCTGGAGATAGGCACTTCTCAATCCACTACTCCATAGTAAGGCCACCCCGGAGGTCGAAGTTAACCTTAAATGTTTCCATCTTTAGCTTTGTTAGTTAGCCTAGTTAGTTAGTTTCATAACGGACGTAATGTAACAGTTGTAGGGATACTGATTTGTGAAAATATACGCTCATTATATCACGGCTAAGAAACATCAGATTGCTTGATTTGACTTGTCCGTTTTATAAACATATACTAACTGTGCTTACCCCCCCCCCCCCCACACAAAAAAAAGTTGTACAGCGAAGTGAAGTACATGTTATGTTATAAAGCCGTGGAGGGCGGGAGTTTATAAACCAAAGAGTAACCGCCCTTGTTGCACAAAAGTTTCGAGCGCGCACAGAATAAATCTGAGAGCAGAAAAAATCTGTAAACAGCAATATATCTGAGTGCAAGCGTACAGTTTGAGCACAAGCAGAGCACATCTAAGTGCAAGCAGGCACTATTTGAGTGTGAGGACAGGGTTTGAGGGAAATACATACATAAAGTATGCTCTCAAATTTAAATACCACGCTCTTGAATAAAGATAGGGAATAACCCCCATATCTTTTCGCACTATTATTAAGCCACGCTAAGATTTTCGAAATGCTAACGTTATGTGATGTCTCTTTCTGCTCTATCGCTGCGGCGCGTCATAGATGCGTCATGAGATGCGTCATGAGATGCGCCGTGGTACTCAGTAAGAAGTGCCAGGCCGGTACCACATGGGTAAAAATCAGAACTGCCGGTACTGCGTACCGGTGAGTACCGGCCCAATTCAAGCACTAAATGCATCTCAGGCAAACCATAACCAGGAAAACACAAAATGTGCAAGCGGATTATTGTGAAGGACAACCAAGGACATTTTGCGTTTTAATGTTTTAAGGACATTCAATTAGGAATATAGTGAGGAGGATTCAACACCCAGTATCTATTTCCTAATTTGCACAAACAGTTTACTCATCTTAAAGTTCCTGTGAATCTTTAAGACATATGTTCGTTATATGATATTGAACGAAGGATGGCCTTTTTCTGTAAAAGACAATAGGGACATATTTTAGTGATTGCTGAATGATATCCGCGGACTGCAGCTCATACGAGTTTAACCACTTTTTAAGGAGCACCACATCACTATTTTTACATCTTAACACCTCAGAGGATTTAAACAAGCCGAGCATCTTCCCTAAACTCGGAGAGAAAGTGCAGGTTAGGCTTAAACATTTTTAGATCTTCTTATTTTGAACACCACCACACTTCTAGTAGCCTACTTAAAAATCCACACGCTTCCTAAATGCTGGATGCAGCCATGAGGAAGGAACCCCACAGCCTCCTAAACTGTTTGTGTGTATCTCTCGCCGAGAAAAGGAGAGAAGAGCCTGGTCTCTAACCGGACTACAAAATATTCTTCCTGTCAGCCATGGAGTAGATCAAGCCAGTATCTGCCCTCAACACGCAAACACACACGCACAAATCAACTGTTAATGACAGTCCTGACCTCTATATGCCCGGCCTTAAATAGTGAGCGAAAAGGTTTGACAACTGCTTAAACTGTGGTGTCTGTTTAAACTGGTGCCCTGGATTGTCTGGGTGTGTGTGCAAGTATATGTTTTTAAGTTGGAAAGAAGGGAACAATCTGTGACTGAAGGAACGAAGAAAGCTGGCGGTTGTGTGTGTGGGTGTGTGGTGTGTGTGTGTGTACCAGCGTGGGAGGGGGTTAAACAGTGACATGCTCCAGAATGACAGATGACAAAAAGAAAGAAAGTGGAGCAGGGAAGGCTCAGAGGGACTCAGTATGGGAGAGACAGGTGTGTGTGTGTGTGTGTGTGTGTGTGTGTGTGTGTGTGTGTGTGTGTGTGTGTGTGTGTGTGTGTGTGTGTGTGGTGTGTGTGTGTGTGTGGTGTGTTGTGTGTGTGCCTTTGCATGCCTGTGAGCAAGTTTATTGACAATGTTTTCTTTCATTAAAAAACAAACTGTAATGTACCAACTGCGTATGGTTTATATCATAGCCGCGGGAAGGGGGGTGCTCGTGAACGAGGGGGGGGGGGGGGGTGGGGGGGGGCTAGTGAACTGTCAACAGGGGGGGGGGTTGCCTCGCTGCAGGGACACGGTGGACCTCTGTCGCCTGTCAGCGCAGCTTCAATGATGCCGGTCATTCTGTGATTCTCCAGATTCTATCTATGGGGTACCCCTACTTCCCGGGGCTATGGTTTATATAGCGAGAGTGACCTAAAAAGTTAATAAAATAATAATTTTACAGAATAAATGGTATCCTAATATTTTCCACTTTTATTGCGGTAAGATTATCTGGTTTTAATTTATCCCACAAACACAACATGAATAATACACAGTTCTTATGATTTAGGAAGCAGAGAAGCACCCGCAGTGGGAACGGTTCAGGGATGTTAATACACCTTAATAGATCCAAGTTCAATTGAGATTAAATTCATAAAATATGTAAGAATAAAACTAAAATATTAAAGTTTAAGGCAGAGAGTGGAGAGGGGATTTGTT